ATATCCATGCTCCTTGCTGAGTATAGCTTTCAGTCTGCCTAATAATGGGACCCAACTACAGCACAGGGAAGGCTACATACACCATATAGCAGCTCTGCCTACAGCAGCACATGAATAGAGAGCACAATCCATTGGTTCTCTCCATCTGCACAGCAAAACCAGGGGTCCCATCAAGCCAGGGAATTTGGTGAATTGTTTTGCTTGATCAAGACCCCAGACAATGAGGTATAAAGACCCTGGGGCCTATCCTGCTGCCCTACCAGCACAGAGAAACTAACTGATAGCCCTATCGACTGCAGAGTATAAAACCCAGTCCCAACTGTCTAGTAAGCCTAACCAGAGAACCCAGGGAACCGCAGAACCCATACCCATCCTACTGCCTCACTTGTGCAGGAAACTATGCCAACAGTCATATTTAACTGTCCTCACCCAGTGGCATGCCCCCATGACCTCAGAACTTGGGCAGTGGCTCTTCCAAAAACAGACCCTGATAACAACCCAACATTCCCAAGGACATAACCAGCAGACATGTCCAGAAACTGAGACTGAGTGGACTAGTAAAGAACTGTCTACAAAAGCAAACCTGTGAACTCTGGATGAGGAGATCACTTACTCAAAGGAACTGACACCAATGTAAAAAACAAGAATCACAAAAAGGTCTGGTAAACATGACACCACCAAAGGAAACTAATAAAGCTCCAAAAACTAACCCTCAAGAAATGGAAATCTATGAACTGCAAAAAGAATTCAGAATAATTACGTTAAAGTACTTTAGTGAGCCAAAAGAACAGACAACTAAATGAAATAAGGAAAATAATGCGTGAACAAAATGACAATTTCAACAAAGAAATAGAAACCATAAAATAAAATAGAAATCCTAGAACTGAAATCTGGCAAGTGAACTGAAGAATTCAATAGAGAACTTCAAAAGTAGACTCAACTATGCAGAAGAAGAAAAAAAAAAATCAGTGACCTAGAAGCAGGACAACTGAAATTATCCAGTCAGAGCAGAAAAATGAAAAAAGGGGGAAAAAAAGGCTTAAGCAGGCTGACAGATCCTATGGGGACACAATCATAAGAAGCAACATCTGCATTATGGAAATTTTAGGAGAAGAGAAAAACAAAGAGAAAGTAAATTTATTTTAAAGCAACAATAGCTCAAACTTCCCAAATCAGGAGAGATAAATGGACATCCAGATATGTGAGACCCAAAGGTTCCCAAATAGATTAAACCCAAACAGGGCTAAACTGAGACACACTATAATGAAATAGTCAAAAGTCAGAGACAGAATTTTGAAAGCAGTAAAAGAATTCTAAACAAATAAACCCCATGGGGACGCCCAGGTGGCTCAGCAGTTTAGCGTCTGCCTTTGGCCCAGAGTGAGATCCTGGGGTCCCCGGATCGGGTCCCATATCAGTCTCCCTGCATGGAGCCTGCTTCTCCCTCTGCCTGTGTCTCTGCCTCTCTCTGTGTCTCTCACAAATAAAGAAATAAAATCTTAAAAAAAAATGAACCCCATGAAACTATCAGTAGAAAGTCTTGTATTGAGACTATTCCTTAACAGAAACATTTTAAGTCAGGAGAAAACGGGACGATATATTGAAAATATTGAAAGACAAACACTATCAACTAAGAATTCTATTCCCCGGGGAATTTACCCTGGGAATTTACCCCAAAGATACAGATGCAGTGAAATGCAAGGACACCTGCACCCCGATGTTTCTAGCAGCCATGTCCACAATAGCCAAACTGTGGAAGGAGCCTCGGTGTCCATTGAAAGATGAATGGATAAAGAAGATGTGGTTTATGTATACAATGGAATATTACTCAGCCATTAGAAACGATAAACACCCACCATTTGCTTCAACGTGGATGGAACTGGAGAGTATTATGCTGAGTGAAGTAAGTCAATCGGAGAAAGACAAACCTTATATGGTCTCATTCATTTGGGGAATATAAAAAATAGTGAAAGGGAATAAAGGGAAAAGGAGAGAAAATGAGTGGGAAATATCAGAGAGGGTAACAGAACATGAGAGACTCCTAACTCTGGGAAACAAACAAGGGGTAGTGGAAGGGGAGGTGGGCAGGGGGATGGGGTGACTGGGTGACGGGCACTGAGGGGGGTACTGGACAGGATGAGCACTGGGTGATATGGTATATGTTGGCAAATTGAACTCCAATAAAAAAAAGTAATAAAAAAAAAGACTTGCCTTAAAGAAATGCTAAAGGGAGTTCTTTGAATGGAAGTAAAAGGATGCTAATTGACATCATAAAAACATAAGGTAGAGTTAAAATTCACAGGTAATGGTCAATATACAGTCAAAATCAAATTTTGTCACATGGTAATGGTGACACATAGTTCACTTATAACTCTAATTTAAAAGGGTGTTTTTTTAAGATTTTATTTATTAATTCATGAGAGACGCAGAGAGAGAGGCAGAGACACAGGCAAAGGGAGAAGCAGGCTCCCTGTGGGGAGCCCGATGGGGGACTCGATCCCAGGACCCTGGGATCACGCCCTGAGCCAAAGGCAGATGCTCAACTGCTGAGCCACCCAAGTGTCCCTCTAGTATAAAAGTTAAAAAACAAATATAACCAAAAAAAAAAAAAACCCACCCCACCCCACTATAATGAGTTATTAGTCACACAACATAAAAATATGTATAATCTGTAATATCAATAACCTAAAATGAGAGGGAAGAGAAATAAAAGTGTAAGTTTATGAACTCTATTAAAGTTACTAGCAGTTTAAAATAGGATATTATAATTTTAACATATTTTATATAAGCCTCATGGTTACACAAGGGAAAAACCTGTAGTAATTACATAAAATATTATAAAAAAGTAAAATCATACTGAAGTCAAAAGACATCAAAACACACACATGCACAAAAGATGGCAGGTTATGAAAAAAGGAACACTGGAGCTACAAAACAGCTAGAAGACAATTTAGAAATGATAATAGTGAATACATACTAATCAATAATTACTTTAAATGTAAATGAATATATGCTCCAATCAAAAGACATACAATGGCCAAATGGATTAAAAAACAAGATCCAATGAGATGTTGCTTACAGGACACTCACGTTAGCCTGAAAGACACACATATTGAGAGTGAGAGAAGGAAAAAGAACTTAAAGGTGAAATCAACAGCAATACAGTAATAGTTGGGGGATTTTGTACCCCACTCTCAACCATGCATCAGACAGAGAATCAATAAGGAAAAAGCAGATTTGAGTAACAACATATACAAAGTGGACTTAACAGATATATACCAAACATTTTATCTGACAATAGCAGAATACACATTCTCCTCAAGCACGCATGAAACATTCTAGGATACACCATATGGTAGGCGACGTAACAAATGTTAGCAAATTCAAAAAGACTGACATCATATCAAGTATCTTCTCTGACCACAGTGGTATGAAACTAGAAATTAATAACAGGAAGAAAATTGGAAAATTCACAAATACATGGAAGTTAAAAACTACTCTCTTGAACAAGTAGATCAAAGGAGAATTAAATGAAAAAGAAAAAATGTACCTTGAGACAAAAGAAATTGGAAACATAACATACCAAAACTTATAGGATGCATCAAAAGCAGTTATAGCAATAAACATGTACATTAAGAAACAAGAATATCAAATAAACAACCTAACTCTATACCTTAAGGAATGAAAGAAGAAAATACTGAGCCCAGAGTACACAGAAAGAATGAAATAATAAAGATTGGAGTAGAAATAAATGAAATTAAGAAAAACAATACATATCATTAACCAAACTAAGAGTTGTGTCTTTGAAAAGATAAAATTGGCAAATCTTTAGCTAGACTAACCAAGTAAAAAAGAGAGAGAACCCAAATCAACAAAACATTATAAATAAAAAGCACACATTATAATTTATACCACAGAAATAAAAAGGATTATGAGAGGCTACTTTGAACTAGTATACACCAATTAACTGGACAACACTGAAGAAATGGAAAAATTATTTCAAACCTACAGCCTAGCAATGACTGAATCAGTAAGTAAAAGAAAATCTGGACAGACCAATTATGGGTAAAAATACTGGATCAGTAATCAAAACTCTCCCAAAGGAAAAAAAACCTCAGGACCATACAGCTTCACATTTGAATTTTATCAGACATTCAAAGAAGAAATAATGCTAATATCTCCCAAACTCTTCCCAAAAAAATTGAAGAGGAGGGAACATTCCCAAACTTACTTTATGAGGCCACTATTACTCTAATACCAGAACCAAAAAAGAACACTACCAGAGAATTACAGTGCAATATTCCTAATAAATACAGATGTGAAATTCTCAGTAAAATACTAGCAAACCAAATTCAGCAGAATATTAAAAAGATCATTCACCATGATCAAGTGGAATTCATCCCTGGTATGCAGGGATGGTTCAACATACAATCATCAGGCTTCCACAGTATGGACGGCGACATTAGCTAGTGCTCGCTCTACTCTCTCTAACAGGGAAACAGCGGACTACAAGAAAACTGAACTGTATCTGCCTCTATTTCCAACAGACTCACGTTCAACTTGCGCTCACACACACACACACACACACACACACACAAAGAAAAAGCCGGGAAAATTTTATTTTATTTATTTATTTTTCTTTTTATTTATTATTTATGATAGAGAGAGAGAGAGAGAGAGGCAGAGACACAGGCAGAGTGAGAAGCAGGCTCCATGCACCGGGAGCCCGACGTGGGATTCGATCCCGGGTCTCCAGGATCGCGCCCTGGGCCAAAGGCAGGCGCCAAACCGCTGCGCCACCCAGGGATCCCCCGGGAAATTTTTATTAATCCTTTTTTTTTTTTAAAGAAAAAAAAAGTTAATATAAAATTATAGAAAAAAAAAAAGGAACCTGAACTTTAGTAACACAGCTGGAACAATCCGCAGCGGTGGCGGCGGGACAAGAAATTTAATTTTAGTTGATTTTCTGTGGTTCTTGGTTGTTGGATAGTCTCACGGTGATGGAAGCTGCACATTTTTTTCGAAGGGACCAAGAAGCTGCTGGAGGTGTGGTTCTCCAGGCAGCAGCCCGACGCCAACCAAGGATCTGGAGACCTTCGCACCATCCCCAGATCTGAGTGGGACATACTTCTGAAGGATGTGCAATGTTCAATCATAAGTGTGACAAAAACTGACAAGCAGGAAGCTTATGTACTCAGTGAGAGTAGCATGTTTGTCTCCAAGAGACGTTTCATTTTGAAGACATGTGGTACCACCCTCTTGCTGAAAGCACTGGTTCCCCTGTTGAAACTTGCTAGGGATTACAGTGGGTTTGACTCAATTCAAAGCTTCCTTTATTCTTGTAAGAATTTCATGAAGCCTTCTCACCAAGGGTACCCACACCGGAATTTCCAGGAAGAAATAGAATTTCTTAATGCAATTTTCCCAAATGGAGCAGCATACTGTATGGGACGTATGAATTCTGACTGTTGGTACTTGTATACTTTGGATTTCCCAGAGACTCGGGTAATCAATCAGTCAGCCAGATCAAACCCTGGAAATTCTGATGAGTGAGCTTGACCCAGCAGTTATGGACCAGTTCTACATGAAAGATGGTGTTACTGCAAAGGATGTCACTCGTGAGAGTGGAATTCGTGACCTGATACCAGGTTCTGTCATTGATGCCACACTGTTCAATCCTTGTGGGTATTCGATGAATGGAATGAAATCGGATGGAACTTATTGGACTATTCAAATCACTCCAGAACCAGAATTTTCTTATGTTAGCTTTGAAACAAACTTAAGTCAGACCTCCTATGATGACCTGATCAGGAAAGTTGTTGAAGTCTTCAAGCCAGGAAAATTTGTGACCACCCTGTTGGTAAATCAGAGTTCTAAATGTCGCACAGTGCTTTCTTCACCCCAGAAGATTGAAGGCTTTAAACATCTGTATTGCCAGAGCGCTATGTTCAATGATTACAATTTTGTTTTTACCAGTTTTGCTAAGAAGCAGCAACAACAGCAGAGTTGATTAATAAAAATGAAGAAGAAAAAATGCAAAAAGAGAACACACATAGAAGGAGGTGGTGGCTGCTTTTTAGATATTGATATCGGGGGCCATGCTTTCCATAACCACCACCTTGTAGCTGCAGAAAGCCCTAGATGTACTGATAGTGTAATCGTTTTGAATTGTATGCAATATTATATCAAGGAGTTAGATATCTTGCATGAATGCTCTCTTCTGTGTTTAGGTATCCTATGCCACTCTTGCTGTGAAATTGAAGGGCATGTAGAAAAAACCTTTTACTATATGAGACTTTACAACACTTGTGAAAACAATTCAATTTGGTTTATGCACAGTGTAATATTTCTCCAGGAATCATCCAAAATTCCCCAGACAAGGCTTTTGTCCTCATTAGGTGTTGGCCTCAACCTAATCATCTGGGACTGTTCTATTAAATTGCTGCCAGGATTTTACATCCAGTTACCTCCACTTTCTAGAACATATTCTCTACTAATATTACTGAAACCAGTTTCTACTTCATACAGATGTTTTTTGCAACAGCAATTAAAGTTTATCTTCCACAAGTCAAGTCCTCTTAAGAAAATAATTGGAGTTATCCATTTTGTGTATTACTATTTTAACATTATTGCTTCCTGTACTTGTACTTCATTTGATTTTGTTCCTCACCATGGTGTCTTGCCTCCCAACCCCCCTCAATAAAGCAATACACTGTTAAAAAAAAAAACATACAATCATCAATCAGTGTGATACAGAATGAAAAAAATTATGTGAACATATCAATACATGCAAAATGAACAACTGACAAAATGCAACATCTGTTCATGATGAAACTCCTAAATTGGGTACAGAAGGAATTTACCTCAACATAATAAAGGATATATATGACAAAACCAAGAGCTAACATCATACTAAATGCTAAAATGTTTAAAGCTTTCCTCTAAGATCATAAATAAGACAAGAGTGCCAACTCACCATTCCTGTTCAATAAAGTACTGGAAGTTTTAGCCAGTGCAATCAGGCAGGAAATAAAATCATGAGACTTTGAAATGGAAAAGTAAAACCATCTCTATTTGCTGATGATAAAATTTTTACCCATACAAAAATCCTAAAGACTCACCCTAAAACTGCTTAATATAATCAACAAAGTTGCAGGATACAAACACTTAACACATAAAAACAGTAGTGTTTCCATATGCTAACAACCAATTATCTGAAAAACAAAGAGAAGATCATGTTTACAATAGCATCAAATCAATCAAATATGTAAGAATAAATTTAAGCAGACAAAAGATCTCTATGCTGAAGGCTGCAAGACGTTGATGAAACAGTAGGAGGCTGAGAAGATGGTGGAGTAGAAGGACCCTAAGGTTGCTTCATCCCACAAAAACAACTAGATAACACTCACATAAGCATAAATAACTCATAAAACTCAAAGACTGGCAGAACAAACTCCACAATAAAAGATAGAGAAGCAGCCACATTGAAGAAGGTAGGAAGAATGAAGATGCAGTTTGGGAGTAAAAAGGACCATGGCTGTCCATGATGGGGATGGAGCCAGTTGCAGAGAGAAGAGTAATAAACAAACTATGACACCAGGGAGCCTGCATGGGGAGGATGAATCCCCCTAACATTTGGCTTTGAAGGCCAGAGGGACTGAATCTGTGAGTTCTTACAACCAGAAGGGCTTAAAGCCCTGAATTTTAAAAATCTGTAGGTTCAGCTCTGGGAGAGCCTGGAGGATATTAGAAAGCAGAGTTACTGCCCTTAAAGAGATAGCACAACAGCTAACAGAGATACAGCACTGAAGCAGAACTTTGAAAAATGCCTGGGGCACAAGGGAGGGAGAGTGATTTGCTTACCTCAGGGCAGGTCTCAGGCAGGGATCACAGGGAGACTCCTCTAGGAACAAAGGAACTGACACATGCATTTCCCTCCCCCACCACTCAGTATAAATCCACAAGCCACCTGTGGGAACCAGCACTGTGCTAACACTCACTACCTAACTTGCTTACTCCAAGTCCCCCCACCAAAGCTTTGGCACATCCACCCTTCCCACTGACACTTGTCTCAGTCCCAGTGCTACAGGTGTCCTCCTCCAGAAGACTAGCACAAACCCCACTAAAACCTCATCTTCCAACCTGCACATTTTGCGGGACATCAGTACTGGCAACAAAAGTGGCTGCAGGTCTCATTTTGCAAGCAGACCAGTGCACACCTTGTTAAAATGCACCCCACCAGGCTGAGGACCAAACCCTGCCCACAACAGGCAAAGAAAGCCTCTGCAGACAAGTGGACTGAAGGAAAAAGTGGTCAGTACTCAACAGCAGGGCACACCCAACAAACAAAGGAAACAACCCTTAAAGCAGCAGGTCCTGGGGAGCAGGGGACACTGCATTGCAGAACACTACAGGACCTCTTCTTCATAACGCTATCACCATCAAGAGCAGGGGAAGTAGCTGACTTTACTAACACAGAAAAACAGACACAGAGAGTTAGATAAAATGAAGAGACAGAAATGGCAAAAATGAAAGAACAGCACAAAAACCACAGCAAGAGACCTATGTGAAACACACAAGTAATAAACCTGATAGAGAATTTAAAGTAATAAAGATACTGACTGGAATTGAGAAAAGGTGGAAAACATCAGTGATACCCTTAACAAAGAAAAAAAAGAACAATTAGAGATGAAGAACACAACAAATGAAATTAAAAAATACACTCGATGAAATAAATAGCAGGGTAGAGGAAGCAGAGGAATGAATTCCTGACCTGAAAGACAGAGTAATGGAAAAACGGAGTAATCAAGTGGAGCAAATGAGAGGAAAAAAGAATTATGCAAAAATGACAATAGACTTAAGGAACTCAATGACTCCATCAAGTGTAATAATATTTGCAATGTAGGGATCCCAGAAGAAGGAGAGGGGATCCCTGGGTGGTGCAGCGGTTTGGCACCTGCCTTTGGCCCAGGGCCCGATCCCGGAGACCCAGGATCGAATCCCACATCGGGCTCCCGGTGCATGGAGCCTGCTTCTCCCTCTGCCTGTGTCTCTGCCTCTCTCTCTCTCTCTCTCTCTCTCTCATAAATAAATTTAAAAATTTTAAAAAAAATTAAAAAAAGAAAAAGAGAGAAAAGGAGGCAGAAAATTTATTTGAAGAAATAATAGCAGAAAGCTTCCTTAATCTGGGAAGGAAGCAACTATACTATATAGATCTCTGAGGCACGGAGATCCCCCAACAAAATCAATCCAAGGAGGTCCATACCAAGACACATAGTAATTAAAATGGCAAAAAGTAGTAATAAAGAAATCAACTTGAAACCAGCAAGAGGGGATCCCTGGGTGGCGCAGCGGTTTAGCGCCTGCCTTTGGCCCAGGGTGCGATCCTGGAGACCCAGGATCGAATCCCACGTCGGGCTCCTGGTGCATGGAGCCTGCTTCTCCCTCTGCCTGTGTCTCTGCCTCTCTCTCTCTCTCTCTCTCTCTGTGTGTGTGTGTGTGACTATCATAAATAAATTTTAAAAAAAATTAAAAAATATATAAAAAATAAAGATTCAATTAAAAAAAAAAAAAAGAAAGAAACCAGCAAGAGAAAAGAAGACAGTTACATGTAAGGAAAACCCCCACATGGATATCAGAAGATTTTTCAGCAGGAACTTTGCAGGCCAGAAGAAAGTGTAGCATGATGTATTCAAAATGCCAAAAGGGGGATCCCTGGGTGGCGCAGCGGTTTAACGCCTGCCTTTGGCCCAGGGCGCGATCCTGGAGACCTGGGATCAAATCCCACATCGGGCTCCCGATGCATGGAGCCTGTTTCTCCCTCTGCCTATGTCTCTGCCTCTCTCTCTCTCTCTCTCTCTGTGTGTGTGACTATCATAAATAAATTAAAAGGGAAACATTTGCAGCCAAGAATACTCTATCCGGCAGGGCTCTAATTCAGAATAGGAGAGATAGAGTTTCTCAGACTAAAATAAACTAAAGGAGTTCATGACTACTAAACAAGCCCTGCAAGAAACATTACAGGGGACTCCTTCAGTGGAAAAGAAGACAATAAGTTAGAGTATGAAAAGTAAAAAACACAAAAGAAGTAAAAATAAATATTTATGTAAAAATCAGTCAAGGGAGTCATAAAATAAAAAGATGTAAAATATGATACCATATACCTAAGATGTGGAGAGGAAAGGAGTAAAGCATAGGTTTAAATTTAAGTGACCAATAACTTAATATAGGCTGCTATATGCAGATGTTACATATAAACCTAATGATAAACACAAATCAAAATCCACTAATACATATACAAAGAATAAAGAGAAAGGAATTCAAGTATATCTGTAAAGAAAGCCAACAAAGCATGAAAGAGAGTAGAAGAAATGATCAGAGAAAAACTACAGGGACACCTGGGTGGCTCAGCAGTTTAGCACCTGCCTTTGGTTCAGGGCATGATCATGGAGTCTAATGATCGAGTTTCACATGGGGCTCCCTGCATGGAGCTTGCTTCTCCCTCTGCCTATGTCTCTGTCTCTGTCTCTCTCATTAATAAATAAAATCTTTTTTAAAAAAGAAAAACTACAAAAACCACCACAAGTAATGAAATGGCAATAAATACATATATATCAATAATTACTTTCTATGTAAATGGGCTAACACTCCAAACAAAAGACATGGGGACCTAAAGATAGTTGCAGATTAAAAGTGAGGGTGAGAAGAAACATTTATCATGCAAATGGATATCAAAAGAAAGCCAGACTAGCAATACTTCTATCACACAAAATAGACTTTAAAACAAAAACTGGGGATGCCTGGGTAGCCTAGTGGTTAAGCACCTGCCTTCTGCCCAGTGCATGATCCTGCCGCCCCAGGATCGAGTCCCACATCGGGCTCCCTGCATGGAGTCTGCTTCTCCCTCTGCCTGTGTCTCTGCCCCCACCACCACACCCCCCGCTTTCTGTGTCTTTCATGAATTAATAAATAAAATCATTTTTAAAAAAATAAAAAAAAATAGGGCAGCCTGGGTGGCTCAGCGGTTTGGCACCACCTTCAGCCCAGGGCCTGATCCTGGAGACCCGGGATCAAGTCCCACGTCGGGCTCCTGCATGGAGCCTATTTCTCCCTCTGCCTGTGTCTCTGCCTC